GGCCTCCCCATCCAACCGGCCTGACGCCGGGGCCAGGCTGAGGGTCCTTCTGCTACGGATCGGGCTGGGAAGGATGCTCCTCACCCAGTCGCTCTCCCCTTCCGGTAGCTGCTCTCCTAAGCCTGCCCCTCCCCCTTCCATTAGCCGCTTTGGGGTGCCGTGCTGAGGGACTGCTCTGTGTCCTGTCTGGGGCCCGGCCAGGGAGCCAGGAGCTGGTGCTGCAGCTTCGGGGTGTGTCCCTCTCTGGCCAGCTCAGCCCAGGCCACTGCGCTGGCAAAGAACCTTTTCTCTCAATAAACGTGTGATGCATGAACCCGCCTCTGCCCTTTCACTGCCGACTCGCAGCTCCCAGCCCTGCCCGACTCACAGCGCCATGTGGCCCCTGCGGACGCCCATATGCTGCGCGCAGGAGCTGGCAGTGCCTATGCGTCACACGCCTGCGGCCAGCGCCCATCCTGTGCCACGTGCCCAGGGGTGGGGATGCCCGTACGCCGCACACCTGGGGCCAGCACAGCCCATGTACCGTGTGCCCGGGGGCAGAGCCACCCATATGCTGTGTGCCCGGGGCTGGCGCCGACCCTGTGCCACGCACCTGGCAGTGCCTATGCGTCACACGCCTGCGGCCAGCGCCCATCCTGTGCCACGTGCCCAGGGGTGGGGATGCCCGTACGCCGCACACCTGGGGCCAGCACAGCCCATGTACTGCGGGCTGGCGCCGCCCCTGTGCCACATGCCCGGGGGTGGGGATGCCCATACTCCGTGCGCCTGGTGCCAGCATAGCCCATGTACCACGTGCCTGGGGGCAGGGTCACCCACATGCTGTGTGCCCAGGGCACCCGGGGACAGGGGCAGGACCGGCCCCGATCACTCGGTGGGCGCACACGTGTGCCCGGGGGCAGAGCCACCCATATGCTGTGTGCCCGGGGCTGGCGCCGACCCTGTGCCACGCACCCGGGGACAGGGACATGGCCGGCCCCAATCACTCGGTGGGCGCACAGAAATGGCCTGGTGGGCGCCATGGCGCCCTCGGGCACCGCGTTGAGGACCACTGGTCTAGACGGTGCTTGGTCCTGCCGGGAGGGCAGGGGACTGGACTCGGTGCTCTCAGGGTCCCTTCCAGTGCTGGTCTTCTGTGATTCTTTGATTCCATGATTCGAAGCCGACGAGAGATTTTGCTCCTGTTGGCCTCCCACGGTGGAGACCTCGCGGAAGTTCGAGTTAAGACATGTTGACTCCATCTACACAATGAATGTAATTAGCTGGAGTTGTGGATCTGAATTGGAACTTCTGCCTAAGTGTAGACAGGGCCTCCAGGGCCGGCCCCACCCGAGAACAGCCCCAGGGCCCCGAGCTAAGCCAGCCTATGAGCAGCTGCACAATCCCATTCCAGGCCTTGTAGACAAATGGTGCGTCTCTTGTCCAGGGGCTCTCTAGGGCCGAGATGCAACATTGCCACCTCAGCACGCCCCCTTATGGCAGATGCAGCAACTCGGCCTCAGTTTCCCCCACAGGCCTTTGGCCTGTCCAGCCTTGGAGCCCCTGGCCCTCTGGAGGAGCTAGTGGAGGGAGAGGTACATAGATTTTCTAGGACACCGTAGAACGGTCCCACCTCCGGTCAGCTGCCCCTGCGCTGTTGAGGAGGGGGAAAGGCTCAGGGAATGAGAACACCCATTGGGAGCAGAGGGAAATGATCCAGATGTGGGGACCTCCCTGCAGTTGAACCCTTGCACTGAGGCTCTCTCTCCAAGGGAGGGAACTCCCGTTGTTAGGAGGAAACAGGTGTTCCTAACAGGGTATCTAATCATTAGAGACACAGACAGCTGGGTTTGCGGTGAGCAAAAGAACCACATCTAGACAGACTTGTGTGTAGTGCTAGGGAGGAGCCGGTGGTGGTGGTAGGTGTGGGTACCAGTGACACAGGGGAGGAGAGGGGAGAGGTTCTGGAGGCCAAACTGAGGCTGTGAGGTGAGAGATTGAAATCCAGGATCTCTACGGTGGCATTCTCTGCAATGCTTCCAGTTTCACGCACAGGGCCGGGTAGGCAGGCCCAGCTGTGGGGTCTCAATGCGAGGACGAGATGATGGTGTAGAGAGGAGGGGTTCAGATCTACTAGGAGTTGGGGGAACTTTTGGGAAAGGAGGGGTATAGACGGGTATCCACCTAAACCAGAATGGAACCAGAGTGCTGGTACTTAACATTAAAAAGGCTGTTAGAGCAGTTTTTAAACTAAGGGTTGGGAGAAAGCCAAGAGGCGCAGAGGAGCACATGGATTGGACAGAGACATCCCTTAGGGGCGAGTCTATTCCTAGAGATTCTCTCTGCCCTACTAAAGAGGAGAGGATAAATATGATAAAATACAGGTAAGATGTGAAGAGAAACAGTCCCTTTCAATCACATCTTGGAGTGGCAGACAGCTAAAAAGTGAAAAGGACATCTAGTGTTCATACACAAACGCTAAAAGAACAAATAAGAAGATGGGTGAACTAGAGTGACTCATGTTAAAGGGGGAAATTGACAGAGCACACAACACAGAAACTTGGTGGAATGAGGAAAATCAATGGGACAGTCATACCAAGGTGTAAGATTTCAGCTATCTCCACACTGACAAGGCACCTCCGGACGGGATGCAGAGCTATAGCTTCTTAACACCTTAAATGGCTGCTTCTTGGGGCAGCTGGTTCTGGAACCCACAAGAGGAGAGGCCATTCTTGATTTAATCCTAAGTAGAGTGCAGGATCTGGTCCAAGAGGTGACTATAGCTGGGCCACTTTGTAATAGTGACCATAATAGAATTACGTTTATCTTCCCTCTGGCAGGGAAAACACCACAGCAGCCCAACACTGGAGTATGAATTGCAGAAAAAGGGACAGCACAAACATCAGGAGATTAGTGAACAGAAATGAAAAGGTACAGTACCGTAAGTGACATCCTTACAAGCTTCATGGAAACTTTTTAAAGACACTAAAATAGAGACTCAAATTAAATGTAAACCCTAATTTAAAAAACATAATAAGAGAAGCAAAAAGGTGTCACCTTGGCTCAAGAACCAAGTCAAAGAAGCAGTGAGCGAGAAAAGGGCAGCATTTTTAAAGTGGAAGTTAAACCCTAGTGAGGAAAATAGAAAGGAGCAAAAACTCTGGCAGATAAAGTGTAAAAATATAATTAGGGAGGCCAAAGGTAATTTGAAGAGCAGCTAGACAAAGACTCAACAAGTAATAACTAATTTTCTTTTAAGTACGTCAGAAGCGGGAGCCCTGCTAAAACACCAGTGAGGCCCCTGGGCAATTGAGATTCAGTTTCTCATTGCGGAGAAACGTAATGTCTTTTTTGCATCGGTCTTCACAGTTGATGATGGGAGGGAGATTCCCAAACTTGAGCCATTTTTTTAAGGTTGCCAATCTGAGGAAGTGTCCCAGATAAAGGTGTCATTAGAGGAGATTTTGGAACAAATTGATAAACTGAACTGAAACAAGTCACCAGGACCAAATGAAAGAACGCCAATGTGAACTTGCAGAATTACTAACTGTGGTCTACAACCTATCATTTACATCAGCTTCTCTGTCAAATGACTGGAGGGTAGCTAATGTGACATCAATTCTTAAAAAGGGCTCCAGAGGAGATCCAGTAATTACAGGAAGGTAAGTCTAACTTCAGTATCAGGCAAACAGGCTGAAACTATGGAAAAGAACGGCATTGTCAGGCACATAGATAAACAGAATTTATTGCGGACAAGTCAACATGCTTTTTATAAAGGCAAATCGTGCCTCACCAATCTACTAGTATTCTTTGAGGGGACAAGGGGGATCCAGTGGATACAGTATACTTAGATTTCCAGAAAGCCTTTGACAAGACTCTTAGTCAAAGTAAGCTGTCATAGGGTAAGAGGAAAGGTCATCCCATGGCTTGGGAACCGGTTACAAGACAAGAAACAAAGGGTAGGAATAAATGGTCAGTTTTCAGAATGGAGAGAGGCAACTAGTAGTGTTCCTCAGAGACCAATCCTATTCTACATATTCACGAATGACCTGGAGAAAGTAGCAATCATTGAGGTGGCAAAATTTGCAGATGATACAAAATTGCTCACGATAAAATTCAATATTGATAAATGAAAAGTAGTGCATATTGGAAACCATAATCCCAGATAGACGTATAAAATGATGGGGACTAAATTAGCTATTACCTCTCAAGAGAGAGATCTCGGTGTCCTTGTGGATAGTTCTCGGGAACTATCTACTCAAAATAGCAAACAGATTGTTGGAATCATTAAGAGATACATAATAATACAGAAAATGCCACATTGCCTTTCTATAAATCCATGGCATGCCCACAGCTTGAATACAGTGTGCAGATGCTGTCACTTCTTCTCAAAAATGATATATTTGAATTGGAAAATGTTCAGAAAAGGACAACAGAAATGGTGAGGGGTATGGAACAGGTGCCATATCAGGAGACACTAAAAAGACTGAGATGTTTCAGCTTGGATAAGAGACAGCTAAAGGAAGATATGAGAGTAGTCTATAAAAGCATGACTAGTGCTGAGAAAGTAAATGAAGAAGAGTTATTTACTCCTTTCCATAACACAAGAACTAGGGACCACCAAAGGAAATGAATAGGTATCAGGGTTAAAAGAAAGCAAAGGAAATATTTCTTCACACAGCGCACAGTCAACTAGATACATTCATGGAGGACAGGTCACCAATTAATTGGGATGGGCAGGGATGGTGTCCGAAGCCTCTTCATTGCCAGAAGCTAGGAATGGACAACAGGGGAGAGATCACTTGATGATTGTCTGTTATGTTCCCCAATGCTTTGGGGCACCTGGCATTGGCCACTGGGCTAGATGGGCCTTTTGCCAGACCCAGTCTGGTTGTTCTTATGAGATTCATGCAGGGAGCAACGCCCCAGCATTCAATACAGTCTAAACACTGAACAGATCCCTACAATTCTGATGCCTGTTTTAACAAAACTAGCGTGCACGTGAGCTAGACAGATTCCTGCCACGTGTCTGTCACGGGTCCACGGGCATGTGCCAGACCTGGATTGCCAGGGTCACAGCAACCTGCTTTTGTCAGCGAGGGGCAATATAAAGCGCTGAGCCGAGCTGGTTGCCACATGGCTAGGTTGCTCTCCTGTTGCTACATTTTGCGTTAGAACTGGCCGGCCCCTTCCGGAGACTGGTGGGAGCTGAAGCAATGGCTCCCTTCTCCTGCTGTCCAACGGAATAAACGGCTGCCCTGGGAGGCGGCTCTTTGCTGGGATGAGAGAGCAGCTGTGAGGCGCCCTTGGCCCTCCCGCCCCCCCGGCTGCCCTGACAGCCAGAGGAGCCGGGCGCAGCCCAGCTCTAGGGAGAGGAGTCTCAGAGAAGGGGGCAGATGTTCCCTCCTGCGGGTTGGCCGGCCCCTCAGCCTCTCCCTGTGCCCCCCTCAGTGCCCTGTTTATCCAGCCTGCCCTGGCTGGAGCCCTGCGGCAGAATCCCTCACCCTGCCTGGAGTGTCTCTCCTGAAGGGCCCTCCTCCCTCCCCTGAGCTCTCACTGTCCCTGGGCCTGGCAAGGGAGCGCTGCCCAGAGTGCAGCTGTGGGGAGGAAGGTTGTTTTCGATCAGATATCTAATCTCACATTAATTAGTGCGAGGGGCTGATCGTCAGCAGCGAGTGTTCCGGCCTTTCCAAAAGGCACAGTCCATTTCTGCCAGGCAGAGGCGTGGGGTGTGTGGGACGTTTTCTGCACAGAATCAACAAGAGGGATAAGAGTTGGGGGATTGTTGAGCCTCAGCTCCATGGGGAGTTGTGCAGCGGACGCCTCCCAACAGGCAAGCGTTGCAGCTGCAAGCGTGTGGGCAGGAGAGAACAAACCCCACGGGCAAGAGGGAACTGAGGAGTGTCACCATCACCTTGCGAAATTTACGATGGTAACTCATGTGCAGATGTACGTTTAGCCACATTCACCTTGTAAATAACGGTCTGGTTCCCCGGCCTAGTTAATACGTCTGGGAAGAATTTATCACAGGATTGGCCACAAGCGTCTCTGGTGGGAGAGCTGAGTGACAATTGTTCATGAGAGCATCAGAACAGCCAAAGGTCCATCCAGCTCTCCCTGTGTGGGGCCGACTGTCTGTGGGGTGCAGGGACCTGCCCAAACTGCCCCTCGCATGCCCCAGCCTGGCACCAGGGGGCCCTGCTCTGGCAGTGCCCACACGCCCTCAGGCACCCCATAGCATCTCCCCCCATAGCCACAGCTCAGCCCTGCCCCATAGCATCTCCCCCCATAGCCACAGCTCAGCCCTGCCCCATAGCATCTCCCCCCATAGCCACAGCTCAGCCCTGCCCCATAGCATCTCCCCCCATAGCCACAGCTCAGCCCTGCCCCATAGCATCTCCCCCCATAGCCACAGCTCAGCCACCCCATAGCTTCTCCCCCATAGCCACAGCTCAGCCCTGCCCCATAGCATCTCCCCTCCCAGCCACAGCTCAGCCTGCCCCATAGCATCTCCCCTCCCAGCCACACGCGC